AAGGTTCATACAAATTTCTCGCCCCATCTTTTAAAAATCTGGCTGGTATCATATCTAGTCCAGTACTTTTCGATACTTTCAACTTGTTTAACTCATCTAAAACAAACTTTTCTGTAACTGGAGAAAAGTGAAAACTATCTTTTGAGATGTCTTTCTCGTCATAAAACTTTTGAAATCTTTCACTGTCGGCATGGAATTTGTTCGTGTTTACTGGTAATTTACACGCTAACTTGTCAGCCACAGTTGTAAAATAATTATTGAACTCATTTGCTATTCTTGATTTATCATGACATAATTCTCCCTGGACATTAATAACTGTCTCTTGAGCACTTTTCCCTTTGCCTTTTAGACCTAAACCCTTCAAATTTTTCCATAACTTCCTGGAGTCATGTTTGTTTTCTTCAATTTGATCTTGAAAATATTCGACTTTAGCTCTTTTAACCTTTCTTTGTACTAGATTCCTTAATGCTTTGTATTTTCTTGCGAGATCCAAATTACTAATATCCCTTTTCATATTTTTGTAAGCTACATTTCTCTCTTTAATTATCGCAATAATTTCATTGTTCATCCATTTTTCTGTTCTTTGTTTGATTCTTACTTGTTTAAGAGGTGCACTCATATTAACTATTGATAAAAAAATAGTTTTAAAATTTGCCCATGCCATATTTACTTCGTTACATTCTGTTATTTTAGACCAATCAACTAGAGATAAATTTAAATTGAAATCATCTACATTATAACTTTTCATTCTTCTAATGAATATAGTTTTGTGGTGCCCAAACACGGGCCTAATAAGCTTCCTTGAGCAATAAGTTAGTGAATGATCACTTATGCAAAGGTCAATAACGCCACTTTGACATATATGCTCTTCTTTACTACATAATACGTGATCTATTAATGAGGAAGTCGTCTGTGATGTACGAGTGGGCAGATTTATAAGTTGGTTCAAACCATTTAAATTCAATATATTTTCATATTTTCTGGATAATGGAGACTTTCGCAAAAGGCAAATATTTATGTCTCCTAAAACTATGACCTCATCGTCTTTTGTTAATTTATCAAAAGTTTCGGAGAGTCTTTCAATAAAAGTATGATCTTTAGGGGGTCTGTAGTAGACGCCAAATGTAATTGGTTTGGTTCGTGGTAAAAGGACATCGACCCACAATGATTCAACGTTTTCTAACATGAGATCGGCTCTTAAATTGAAGGCAATATCGTTTCTAATAAAGAGGCAAACACCACCTCCTTGCCCAGATGTTCTGTCTCGTCGTAAAATGCAATATCCATCTATACAGACTTCTTCATCATTTACAGACGAGTTTAACCACGTTTCAGAAATTGCGATAATGGAAATTTTATTCTTAGAAAAAAGTAATCGAAGTTCAGAAATTTTATACAAAATGGATCTAACATTTAAATGGACGAAATGCAGGCCTTTTGCCTCGAATTTATCATTAAAGCATTCATAAAGTGTTGTGTTATCGACATTGGTTGGGGTACTTAATTCAGATTCACTTATACGTCGAGTACGTGCAACATTTGTAATGGAGTTTGTGAATAGCGAGTCGCAAAAAGAGGGTAAAGAACATGTTAAACAAGTCCATTTTTCATTTGGGTTTTGGTATAATCTAGTATACTCGTGTATACTTATATCTTGGCATTTGGTATGATGCCATTTTTGACATATGGAACACAGAAGACCGTTTTGATTATTCTTAACTGGTTTTTCACATGTTCTACATGGAAATTTATAGTTTGGACCGGGATTGGTTTCCACATCACCACTAAGAAGTATAAGATTAAAAACACAATTCTCTACTCGATATATTTCCGTTTGAAAGGTGGCTGATGAATTATGATAATATAAAATTCGTGATCGGAAATATTTCAAACGTTTTAGTGATTGAAATCGAACATATCTAAAACTTGTGTGGACATTGTGTGAACATAATAAAAAGATAGACATATAAAATACTAAGACATTCATTTTCAAATACAACGACTAATAATTAAAAAAAGAGAATATGATTATAAATACATGTACACAGTTCACTACTAGGAAGTAAAATCCTTGCTCCTCAGCTCGAGTAAGATCACCAACGAAAATTCCGGACAGTCTACCCACTGCATGGCTCCTTCCTGACGCCGCTGTAAACTGGACCTCCGTCGATGATCACCACGCCCATCAAGCCCGGTGGTAGAATCTCGTTCCCCCGCTCTCCTCACCACTGCCTCCCGATGAGTCACACTTGTCCTTGGGTATCCCCACAGCAAACTTTGCTGACAATAAATGATGTTGTCCAGCTGCTCCCCGGGATAAGCCATGTCTACTTTCACTTTCAATGGTATAACACTCTTAACACTCTATACACTCTATACACTCTTAACACTCTATACCTTATACGTGTGTTATACCCTTGCACGCGCACTGAATCATGAAAATGTCACGCATTGCCGATCTTTGAACTTGGCGTCTCTGTTACTCTACTATCAAAATGAAATAACTAAACCTCTATTTTTCTGGGGGGGGGGGGCGACTTCAGTTCCCATACCATCCGCCAAGAACTGCCCCTCAGAAGAGAGGGAGCAACTAAGCTAACCTCCGAAGTGTCTCGACATGGTTTGCTGTCTTACAATCTCCTTTTAATATTAAGTTACATAATGCCAAAAAATAGGGGGGGGGGGGAAGGAATAGAAATTAGAGGTCACATGGAATGAATTTCTGTATAATTGAGTTTGTCACTGCAAACAGCACTCATTAGCCAGATGGGGAAAAACTGTGACCTCTATATAGTCCCATCTGCCTGCTTCTGTGTGACCGTTCCTCAAAACACAGCATGAACAGTGTGCACTTGTTCGAGATGAATCAAAAGCAATTTGGGGAAGAACATTCTCCAAACAGCACTACAAGTTAGACTGGAAGAATAGACAGACATGGTTACATCATAAACGGTGGAACCCATTAAGCCTAGGCCAAGCTTAATTAGGCTAATTTAGCCCAGGCTGAAAGAAAAGGTCATGCCTTTGATGCAAGGGCCCGCAGAGTCAGAGCATGGCGGGGCTTTGAAATTAATTGCTCGAGTACAAGAGATACAAAATCAGTATGCAACATTATCGATTGAAACAGACAGATGTTGCTTTCATATTGTGAAGCAATTACCATAACGGTGCCCTTGTTGCACATTATCTCTGTGTGCCGACTGTTTGAGAAAGTTATTAAATTAAAACAAGCCATATGTGAACACATTCCTGCCCTGTCAAGCTGGTGTATAGATCTGCTACATCTAGGTAGGCTACTTATCCTTTCTTTTTAGAATGGTTCTATGTTCTTTTTTTCTTTGGTTTCAGTTCCAGAATTCTTTACCCAGGATCCTCATGATCAAATATCTGACAAACAAAAATGAACAGGGCCCTTTTTCACAGAATTAGTTACATCTAACATCACAGGCTACTATTGCATTTTCATTGAGTCATGGCACAATAACACCAAAAACATAAATAGAACAGACAGTATAAGAAACCAAAAAATAAAGAACATAGAACCATTCTAAAAAGAAAGGATAATTAGGGCTATTTTCGGGTAATAAAATATAAGAAGAACTACTCTCTACTGACATTATCAATATTAGTCCTTTGAACTTGAAACTTTATTACTTGAAACATGCATTTTAATGGGGAAATTGTGTTCAATTCAACTTATTTTGAATTGAAAAGTGCTTTTAAATCTCCACAAAATTTATATTTTTCTCTATTTTAGCATTTCAATTTTGTTAATCTAATTATTATAGCTCTACCCCGATGTTCACAAGAAAAAGAAAACACAACATCAGTTTCTTTTGTGGTCAAGCCTCTTGAACAAAGAACCAATTATAAAAGTAATAACATACACACATCGAAAGGGCATTGTTTCAATGCTACACCCTAAACAGAGTCAGAGGCCCTTCCCATTCACATCAAGGTGCTTTCTAAGAATATCTATCCCTCTAATGAAATAATTATAGAGGTCCATGTTGGTACTTAAAAACATGAGAGCAGTAATGCGTTTGGCATTCAGTCCTACTAATTGTATTTCAGATGATTACAGGCACCAACTCATAACTGGTGCAGACGGAATGTTTGACATTCTTCTGTCTTGTTGGCTACACATTGAACTGTTGCCTATGCAAAGGTCCTCTTCGAAGACTCCACAGAGACGCCGCAGAGACAGACTTTGAAAGTCACATGAGCATGCAATTGTTGTTCATGTGAGTCTATTGTTTCATAGTGAGCTACATGTATCATAATGATCACCGAGGGCAGAATTGCAAAATGAATGGCCGCAAATATCCACTTCTATATAGTGGATGCTCCAGATGGCTATTTCAAAGTTTTATAGCTTTTTCCAGGAGATTCACTGGAGATTCAAGCTCAGAGCTTTAATCAACAAAAAATCTTGGATCCTTCATAAAAACAATCCAAAATGTCAATGCCATCTTCTAGGGCCGCGTGTGACCAACAACCAAGATCATAGGAAGAAAGACTGCTGGAAGAAAAACCATTTATAATTATGCAAGTTCGATCCTGTATTGAGGCGCATGCATTCTCCATCTTTAGCAGCTCTCTGTTAACATGAGAAGGAAACATTTTATAAAAATTCCCTGATAAGTTTAATTTGTAAGCACTCCTGGGGATGCTATGAATGATCCTAGTGATGTAGCCACATACAATAGAACTATTGCTAATTAAAACGATTATATAAATATCATTTATACCAAAGCAGTGAAGGCATTTGGAAGCCATATGGGTGTACCACAAGGGTCTTTTACAGGAACACTACTATTCTTTAAGGAAACTTTAATTGAAACTTGAAAGAACATATACATGTAATTTCCTAAAATGTTTACATAAATAATTAGTATAAAAATGTAAATATCCCATGCTACAAGTTCATGGGAACCTTCAGACCAACTTTCAATTTTCACTAATTGTCAGAATGACATGTCTTTTGCAGGTTTGCTTACCTTGAGGTCTCTATGTACGATTCCTTTGCCGTGGATGTACGTGGTAGCTTCAAGTATCTGTTTCATTATCTCACTGGCATCTTTTTCTGTGTAGTTACCTTTGGTCACTATCCTATCAAAGAGTTCTCCACCTGATACTCTGTAGATCAAGATAAAAATAGAGGGGGGAAATTGCTTTAAAACAAAAATTAAAACAAAATGCTCTAGTTGTGATGTTCATGAACTTGATGTTCTTTAAGTCATAATAGGCGGTGTCACAAAAAAACAAAAAAAAATCCCTTGAAAAATCCTTTCAAGGGAGAATTTTCTTGCTTCGTTAGAGGATTTTTAATGGGATAATTGATGACAGACAGCAATTAAGAGGATAACCAAAATCCGGATAACTAAAATCCGGATTTTTGGCCTAATGATCCCATTGTGATGAACACGAATTTCAAACATGTTGAATATTCTGTAAATCAAGACAAAAATGTGGAAAAGAATGGCTTTAAAAATAGTCACAATGCTCTCATTTTTACAGACATGCATTTCAAACAGGTTGATCTATGGTTGCTCAGATCTAAAATTGTTCAATGCATACATGAATTAAAAAGAATAAACAGCATTAGTTCTCTCTCCCTCTTTCTTATCTCTTCCTCGCCCTTCTTCTGTTTATCTCCACCCCCTCCTGATGTTATATTATCCTATATTAATTACAATGTTATCCATATAAAAAGGAGCATATAGCTCAATTTACAAATGAATCAGTTCATTTTGATAGCAAAGATGCTATATGAAATGGAATGAGGAAAATATACACATAAATTAACAAGATGTTTCTCTTTTTTCCTCTATTTCTCTCTCTCTCTCTCTCTCTCTCCCCTGACACATACATTCTCTCCCTCTCATTCATCGTTCATGTACAGTTACAATGCAACTTGATATCTTATTATTTCTTTTCTCTAACGTCTCTCTCCTCTCTTCGTCTTCCACTTGAGAGTGAGTAGTACATGGACTGAACGATGCTCTTCAGCGAAGGAAAGGATTTCAAAACAAAGTGCACAGTATCCTCCCGCACACTTGGTACTAATATCCCTCCACTTCAGGCCATAAACCAACGTTTTATAACTCACTCAAATCAGTTACCATAGAAACCACGCATCACTTCACTTCCTATCAAAAAACTACTAAATAATCCGTCTACTTGAGTATGAGTTGAATAAAAATGTGGTTTTGTTGTTGTTGGTGCATTAGATTTATAAGTAATCTCAGGCATTGGAAACATGATTGTTTTACATAGGGATAAACTTCTTAGGTAAAAGCAAAGACGGTCGTAGAGTACAGCTGGCTTGATATTGCACTTTACTTTCTAATACAGTGGAAACCCACTTCATTATAAAAAGAAAAGTGGAAATTCTACATGTATGTGATTTCGAGAAAAAGAATAGAAAATCATATTTTCCAGTTCCTTTTATGTTCTAAAAAAGCCAGATTTCCAGATATTGTATTTTCTTCAACTACATGTACACAAGGTTTCTTCAAAGGATAACTATGTTGCTTCAAAAATTGTTTATTGCTTCTCCTTTTTTTAAAGACATTGAAGCCCGGCCCCCCCACTCAGGTTTCGAAATGACCACATGCGTGTTGCCAAAATGTCCGGTAAAGGAGTACTTTTCGTGCGACAAAGTCCGGCCCGAGAATTGTAAAAAAAGGGGTGTACATATTTCACTTTTCACCCGGAGATTTCTTTAAAAAGGGGGTGTTTTTTTTTTTTTTTTCTCTCATCTCTTTGGACTCCTGAGAAATTATTCAGAATTTAGGGGGGTACATTGAGCATTTTTCCTGATTTAGGGGGGTCTCCAAGGCAGGAAAAGCCCGCGAAAAGCCCGCGAAAGGGGGGTTCCGAAATGTTGGCAGTCCTCAGATAGAGGGTGCTTTCAAAAAGAGGGAACAAGCATATGCGTACCCTAAATAACACTGAGTGGGGGGGGGGGGGGGTCGCAAAACAAAATCATTTTCATCTATACATTTCTTCCACTGATACTCGGTTTGAAATATGTTTGGGCAGCTTTTCATACAAGGTCACATACTCAAGAGGTACTTGACTGGCAGGGCCAAGGTTTCAACAATCAATCCATATAGTGCGAACGAGTTACCTGTATCCTATATTGGCACTGTTTGTATTTTTCATGCAGCAAAATATTTGAATTTTAACTGTCATGTCTTATGAGATTCGCTTACATTCCATGTCGTGGATGTTTCACAAATACTAAGATCGACTTTAAGTTGGACTTAGCTATGGCAGACCGTTTATGCCACTGGTTGCTCTCATCATAATACTGGCATTGGTCTCAATCTCAAGGGATGACAAATCGTGGTCAGGATTTACATTGTTTGATAATTCATTATTGAAGAAAAAATAGATATTATCTAACGATCATAATCATATGGTGAGAGCAACCAGTTGCATGAACGGCCTGCCATAGTTAAATCCAACTTAAAGTAAATCTTAGTCTTTGTGAAACACTCTCCAGCCCTCAAAATCATTCATCTGCATCTTAAAGGTACTACATCCCTTTTGCAGCCAACCTCAAATGCTGTAGAACTTTGCAGGAATTATGAATATGTCATGTATGTCCTATCTGTGAAATTTAAACGTTAGCAGTGTCCTCATATTCAAATTATGCAAGGAAACCCGTTTACTTGCTAGACTTCACTGTGAGACACTATTGAGTGATTGACTGGCTTTTTTTCTTCTTTGGTAATAACATACATGAAAAGAGTTGTAAAGGGTACATGAGCATTTGTCTACATCAATAACCCACTTCTTGTGATGGCCAAGATTAAACTGATTGAATCTTCGTGCAGCATAAAACGTATGACCATTTGGTACAGTTGTCTGAAAATCAAGACTATTACTTTTGGGCTCTACAACCCTAAAGTCGATTTGACAACTAATAGTCTTTATTTTCCCACTTGAAGACATTTTCAAGCCCCACCTTTTTTAGGGAAGTTCTAAATTAGTATTATCTTTCAAATGCAGTTGGAATTTAACTTTTTCATTTTTTTGGCCTGCAAATGGGACATAGTACCTTTAAGGTATAATCAGGGGAAAGAATTGGTCTGCAGGTAGGCCTACGGATTTAAAAAATTTCCATAAAGCCTCGAGCTTAGTAACTTTGTCAGTCTCTAGCTGGCTATATCAAGCAGCGTATGTACAGGGCCTATGTTCAGAGTGCAGTCTACAGTCTCGCAGTTCAGACCCTGTGCTAAGCGTTATACAACCGACAAGGTCAAGGCTTTGTTCCGCAAACTAGGACAGGATAGTCTTCCAGCCTTTTCACACACAGCTAAAATTCATCGTATCTAGAGCTGATTAGTTTAAAGCTGTTTAACTCAACAGTTTTAAACGGCTTTAAAGAAAAATGTCACTGTGTGAACATCGTTTATACGGTGTTCGGATAGATATGAGGTCGCGATTCATATGCCCCTCAAAACAGGCTGCAGATACAAAGTTTGTATCTAGAAAGCTTGACATTTTGTGTGTGAACGGTTATACGTGTTTAAACTGGATGGAGCTTGCGCTTTGTTTGATATGACCTGACCTTCAATGCGCAATGGCACTACTGCGCATTTTAAGAGCAGTAGTTAATCACGAAACGATTAACGATCGCACCGAAATTTCTGTGTGTAAATGATGTCGTATGTAAAGCTGATTAGTTTAAAGCGCTTTAAACTAATCAGCTTTAAAGAATTTTTACTCGTGTGTGAAAAGGCTGCTAAACCCTGGGTGTAGCTCTTACCCCTACTATCTGTCCTACTCGAATTTTTCTTCCCACATAGCTGGCAAGACAGCCTGAAGTGAATGACCTCAGAACACAAGGGATAATCAAGGAACACGATCGGCCATCGATCTTTGAGGTCGTACATCATTAGTTGATCCATGCACGCTCAAGCCACGAGACCTGCTCATGAATGCCTTCCAATCCCTCTGCTGTCACTAACTGTATCATTTTATCAACCCTCCCCCCACTCTCCTCCTCCTTCATGTACATGGCAAGGTTAACGCACTCTTAGCCACCTCATCTACTTTGTTCACCCACTCCCTACTGGAACTGCTTCCTGTATTAAACTCAATAGGAAATGTGATCCTTCGGCAGTCTATTGGTTAATGCAAGGTTCTGGTATACACTGAAAATGAGCTTTATATTAGTTTAAACTGGTATTGAGCCAAAGGAAATGAGAAAATTCAGTAGTCAGCGGGTTAAAGGGTACTTAAATGTATCTCCAAAGGTGATTTGAGAAGCTCTACATTTGAACAATGATCTTGAAATCAATATATTTTCATAAAATGTTAAAATGCATGAGTTGAAATGATCATATTCACATGCTCGCCAAAGTAAATTTTTTCCCCCTGCATTATAATGCTATACCCCTTGGTTATGTCTCAAGTCCAAACTTGCATACATTGGTTGTTGCTATGTTGGGTAATCCTCATTTCAACAAGCAACCTTAATGGTCATCAAGTACAATCAGTATACTTAGTTTATGAAATACAATTTACAAAGATAAACCAGTCTATTCCTTTTCATCCAAAAGCCCCTAAACCTCAATCTTAAAAATAATCAATCCCAAATCCCAATCATAAATTGTGAGCAAAATAATACAACAAGTACAAGGTAACAACATTCCATCTCGACCCACTGTTGATTGCAAATATTTCTCATCTCTTTCAACCCCTTTATCTTCCATGCTGTCATCACCTTGTCCATCCACTCCAACCAACGCACTCTTTTTTCACTCCTCCTACACGTGCATTCTCCAATCCGCCCGCCTGAGGGGCCACCCATCTCATTGGAAATTGTGCAAAGATGACTATCTACGGTTGGACGTTCAGACCAATTGGGACCCGAGGATGTCAATTCAGGGGCTGGAGAGAAAGATTATATTTATGACAGGTTGTAACTGTTTCTCCCTCGACACTGCATGGCTCCCATGAATTTTTCTCACTTTCAAATTGAGTCACTATTTTATACTGTTGCGCTGCTGATGATCATATGCTTGAAAGAGAGGAATGTTCATTGACAATGATAATAATATTAACATTTATTATGATAATAATGATTATAATAATAGTAACAACAAGAATGACAATGACGACAACAACACTAACAATAATAATCATAATATTAATAATAACAACTGTTTCTTATAAAGCGCTTACCAATTGATTACAACAACTAACTGACCTCTGTGCTTACAGTATCGTTTCCATGGTAACTGGATTCTATTACAATTCTGTAGGTCGAGTGCACACTCTATATGGATTTTTAATGAACAATAGAGATTTTTTTTTCATTTCAATTTGAGTGCAGACTTTAGGATGATCATTACTACAATGGTCAAATTGTAGGGATAATACAGCAGAGAAGTTACAGATAATCATCTGTTGACTAATAAAAGATGCTGAGTGGGTGGATAATATGAATATTTTACCCTTGATTTGAATATTCGAAGACCAAGGTGCGAAAGAAGAAAAAAAAAGCAAGATGGTGGAATTGACAATATTGACCTACTATGGCATTCAAAAGAGAAAAAAAGGGTTTGGTTTACTCATTGGTGTAGAGAGTGTTTTATTTTACACGACACGAGGGAACTTGAGAGTGGGCGAACGAGAATAGGCAATCATCGTCTTGTCATCTTTTCTTCATATAATGCTGGTGGGTCAGAGCTTTAGTTTAGGTTAGTAAACAGCTCCATAATTATATAAGATCATGATGTGGGGGAATACAACGTGACAAAGGAAAAGCCTTCAAACAAAGGTAGAATTTATTATTTTTTAAATGACTTTCGGCAGGGGAAGATGAGGAAACTTGATGTTGCTACTCGATTGAATTAGTAAAAATATATGAGTTATAATATGATAATGTGATGAATTGACTTTCCCCAATGTCTATGGATTGTAATCCTGCTGTGATAAACAACTTGAGTACAAAACATGAACACATAAATAATAACAATTGAATCATTTAATTGTATTATTGAAGTAGTGAAGTGAATCAGTCTTTTGAGAGTGGTTTTCACTACCGGTAGTTAGTGTGGATATCCACTCCCTACAAAGTGATTTCTAATACGACTCCCCCGTAAAAGTGGATCGTCACTCCAGAATAGCACATCCATGGCCATGATGTCCTACGGCGGCGTCAGTGACTGATGAGTGGCGTGTCTCTGTGTTATCGTTTCATATGCAACTGTTGATAGGAACATACAACTGTATTCCTGATTTAGCAATAGAAAACAAAACAATAACCCTGACATTGAAAAAATAATATGGGGCCTTCGGGGGCCGCGCCAATGAAACTTATGTGCGCATGAGAGGGCGAGAATGACGTTCATATTTGGTTTGCGTCATGTCGCCCGCCCTGGACATGGAATAAATGTCAGTGTGGTAATATGATACCAGGGTTGCGTCCAGGGATGTATCGATTCATCATGTGACAGACCATGAAGTTATACAGGTAATTAACATTTAAACTGGTAGTCAAAATAGATGAACCTTTTTACTAACAGGAAATTCAGATGACGTATATGCATGTATGACGCTCCCAGGTATCACAACAAATGTGGAGTAGCATCCTGCACTACCTGTTTATATGTCACATGTTGCCTCTGGTGCAAAGGTTCTTTTGAAGAGCCAATTTAGCAAACTACCCTGGCATTTACAGGGGGTTACAATGCTTGCGTTCACTACATAGAATCACTTGATTCAACCATTCCCCCCCCCCCCCTCCCCCGTAAAAAGGTGGAGATAGGAATTAAATGATTTGTACTAAAGTTGTGTAGAACACTAATAAACTATTTCATTTTTGACAGAGCAAAAATGCAGACTATATGTGTAATCTCAAAAAAAAAGGGGGGGGGGGGAGGGAATGATTGGTCCAGATACAACTACAAATTGTTTTGAAGAGAATTTTCAATTTTCAAGCAATTCCCAAAAGAACACAAGTGTATATTCTTATGAGATGTGAAATTGCAATAGTTGATAACACTGATGTCAGACGGCGACCAAAAGGTGAATGGGCTAGCAGAGTACATGTACTTATAAAGTGTACCAATCACAAAAACATGTTTCGCTCCGGATGTTTGTAAAGAGCCCCATGTCACTAAACTGTATTCAAAATATACCACAAAAACTGCTACAAAGAGAGATTTCAGTTTGTATATCAGTAAAAAAGGAAGCGATTCATTGAGTAATGAGTAGACTAGATGCATAGAATAGTGCCTGCATGCATGGACCTCAAATTCGACTGAGTTTCGTTCATGGGTTTTTGTGTCATTTTTTAAACTTTCTTCATAATCCTTATGGAGCGTTGGGTAATGTTTAAAAAAAAATTATTTTATACATTCTAGATATAAACAAATTACTTTTTAAGGGCGAGTAACGCACTTTAACACTGCACTTGCATAATCAGGCAGGTCTACCTATATCTATGAGAGACAGACAAATCTGATAGATCCAACAGGTGTTCTACCTAATCAAGCTGTATCAGACTGATTACTATAGAAACTTCTCACATCCAATAGATACATGTATCAAACTGCTTACATCACATATCATACAAGATATCAATTTGTGTTTAAAGCCCCTCTGCACTAGTTTGGCATGGAGGGATTAGACCCCTGCAAGGTCACTGGCAGGTGGTTATCTCATCAAATCAGCTCTCAATTAACATAAGAAAAAGGGCATCCTTCATATTTCATAATTGTACAACGAAAAAACTTCATGCAAATTTAAATGTACCCTCTTAAACACAATCAATGACTCGATAATTGTACATTTGTATACATTCTTTGTAAATTACTGATAGTACCACATGTTTGGAGCTAGAAGGGCATTGACTCATATACTTTAATCCAGAATTAAGGCGCTCCTGGCTCTGATTAAAAGATATCTTTCCTAAGGTTCTCAAATATAGACAAAATGGGTACAATACAAATCAAATGGGGGTAAACATTCCTTCAATTGGGCATACGATTGTTGACATGTCTTCATGACCAATTTGTTTAACTTAGACAATCTCTAACGGATCCATGATTCATAATAACACATTGCATTCTTTCCAAAAGTAGAATGCAATTGTTTTTAACAGTCCTCCCTTGTGGTCAAGTTGTGTATATAAGTCTTTTACAATAATTAAAGAGAAATAGCCTACTATATATAGAAACTTCAATTAAAATGATTACGGTAGAATGCGTCGCAACAAGAAAATTGTCTATAAATAAAAATGGAGGAACGATTGATACAGATCGATTAGATGTATTCCTTTGGAGCAGAGGCCCTTACAAGTGAATTCACAGGAATGAAGCTACTTCTGCTTCAGTGGGTGCCCTGGAATTGGATGTCTGTGAGCTCTCGCACATCAGTGCACACAACATCGTGACTTGCCGACTCTCCACTCCCATTATATACACTGGAAGTCCTTGTTTTTTAGAGGTAACAAACGTACGCAAATGTGACTTCTTAATTGAAGGTTTTTGTATGGTTGAGATTTTCATTAAAGGTAAAGACCAGTATTGAAAACGTCCCAATTTCAAAAAATGAAATGGAAGCTCTCATTACCAATCATGTGAAAGAATATGTTTTGACTAATACATGATGATTAAAAAATTGCCAGGAAACTACCTACTAATTCATATATTTGGTAAATTTGTTTCTCTCATGGTCTGTGAGAGATATAGGGTAGTCCCATATACATCTTTCTGTGTATAGTGCTTGTAACTTTACGAAGAATGGGCCAAATTTCTTATCATTTTGATGGTTCCAGAACCTTGCAGATGCTAGATGCTAGATGATCAACCTTTTCTGATCGATTCCACAACGTTTCTTTCACAATGCAATCGCATGACCATAACTGGTCTTTACCTTTAAATAGAAAAGAGTTCCTAAGGTGTAATTTACATGTTATGTCTGCTGAGAGCCAGAAGGGCATTAAGGTGTCTCCATTTGCACAAAGTTATTCCCCTTCAGGCTTTTGATGAGTTTTAATCATAAAAAAGTGGATATATCAAAAAGTTTACTAGTGTACTAGTCAAGCATTGCTCTACAAGACAAAGATTGTCCTAGAGTTGCCTGACATAGCAATGATCAGTGCACATATTTCAGAGGGTGAATGCTGAATAGATTCATACATGTACGTGTAAATCACATATTAGTTAAAAAAACAAGTCATCAGGGTTTCTGGGAAGACACGTCCTTAAATTTGAAAGGCTACTGACTTTATATCTACCTTAGATGCTTTGAAGACAACATAATATTTTAAGATTAAATTTTGTTACAAAATTGGGCTTTTTTATGTTGAACTTTGTAATTTCTGTATAAATCCAATCAATATAAGATAGACATTCGTTGTTGTTTTTTTTGTTTTTTTGTTTTTTTGGAGGGGGGGGGGGGTGACTTTTTCAAGCTTTTATCCAACACTCTCTAAAACTTCCACCAAACTTTATAACATTATCATTTACCTCCTTCATGATATTTGTAAAGATCTAAATCTAAGCTCTAAATTATGAATTAATTTCATTACCATGCACCTTCAACTGTTCTTAATTCTTACAGGTACTCTGTAAAAATACATTTCTTTCCTTTAACCCTTTCAAACATAACTTCTACAGGTTATGAATCATCAAGAAATACAAAATGAAATTCAATTCACCAAATGACTGATCACACTGCAACAAAAAAAGTCTACACTTCTCTTTAAATATGTAATGATTTATAAAACTATGAATTATCTTTGTAGTTCTTCATTTACTGGTAAGTAGATAAAAAGAAAGGAATACTTACAATTCAATAACTAAATATACATGCATCTTGTCTTCAAATATGTCCAGTAGAGCCACGATGTTCGGATGATCTATTCTGTAAAGGAGAAGGAAAAAAAGGAAGGAATAGAGAAAAAATGAGTGATTATAGTAATTATTCTTCTCTGCATATTGCAAGACAAATCTCAAGACATTTGACCATCCAAGAAAGAAGAAATTTGACCTCAATGAATTCTTCAACTGTCCATGTTCTAAAACAGCTGCACATGTAGAGCCTTTTGAACAGAACACAATACATCTACATGGTTGCAGACAAGAAAATAAGGTTTTAAGTTGACTTCAAAGGTAGGAATCCAAGGTAGGTACAGTATTATGATTCATGGAAAAAAATACTTTAAACATTTCGGGGGCTACTTTTCAAGCTTGTTTGCATGAAAATAACACTCTTTAATTTGTTTTGCATTAAACTCTACAGATACAAAAAATTTTGGGCTCTTTTATGACTGTCGGGGGCTCTTTTTGGCATTTTGGGGGGCTACTTCGCCCCGAGCCCCTGTGTATTTTTTTCACTGATATGATGATTTATTATATCACAGGTGTATGACAATTGAATATTTTTACAGTACCTGTATATAAAGACCACTCAGGGGAAGCATGAAAATTGGTCTTTATAGGCAGGTAGTCTATATGTAAATGTACAGGTGCCTTCGTGACAGGTTTTAATGAGAAACCATGTTCAAGGGAAACAACAAATTGTCGTCTTAATAGACAGGTGGTCTTTCTATTTGGTAAACTAAATCTGAAAATAAAAGTGGTCGAGAAGGAACAGAGGAAATTAAAAGCTAGATAATCAGTAAAAGAATCTTAATACAATAAGAAGAAAAACAGGTGTAACAAGAAAGGAAAAAAGGAAATCATGACAAAAGGAGAGAGAAATAGTAATAAGATATATAAAGATGGAGTGAGATAGTAAGAGCACAAGAAAAGCCAAATGATCAAAGCAAAAGAGAGAGAAAAATAAAATATATGATAGTATCAGATAATGATGATGACTAATTATCTACATTGCACCAAATTCATGTTAAAAAATATTCAAAGGCACAGGTTTCTCCCATGAAGTCAGTATTTTCACATTTGCGGAAATAGGTAATTTGTGAAGGATAGAGAGAGAGAGAGAGAGAGAAAGACGAAGGGGAAGAGAGAGAGAGGGAGAGGAAGGGGAAGAGAGGATGGACAGAAAATTTCATTGAGGCAGCAATGAAAATGCAAAATGCATGCAATTAATACCTCACATTATGTAACCTATCCGACACTGCCAAACATATACCTCTGCTAGTATAGGGCAGTATATATACCGGACCCATCCAAGTCACTTTATATGGGAACATCCATCATATTGAAAGTTCAGATGATTGGGACGGAAAAAAAGCGGATGTAAGCTATCATTTAAAGTACAAACTGAGGTCAGACTGTAGTAATACCGACAGTGGTTAGGAACTCCCAACGCGCTGTTCCCATGGATACAAATATGTTGCACAATATACATCCACTGACACTGAGCAGGGATGTGGGTGAAATCTGAGCTTCTGTTGCAGCAGAATGGGAATGGGTGAAACGGGGGTTGGGCACCACTGACTTGAAAAAAACATTGTGAATGGCTGTGGGAACGGTTTCTATTAAAATGAAATAAGGAATGAAAGCCCAAGCGGGATATCTCTTTCACTGAAGACAGGGAGTGCGTATAGAATGGTAGATGAGCTCAGAGCAGGAAACGGTCGAGATCTATGGGCACTGGCTGTGCATATTTATTCCCGACGGAAACTTTAAAATGAGGGTATGCGACAGAGATTTCCCCTAGAATATAGGTTTACGACCCATCTCTCTAAAGCAACAGTAAAGGTTTGCATCATTTGGAAATTTAAATTCAACAATGTATTCCAGTATTAATATCAGATGTGTATGAGAACAAAATATTGATGTTTCCTAATACATGTGTATATCATAAAATATTCAAATTTCCAATATTTTAATGAAATGGTTTTTCATTAAAACTCATTAAACTGTCAGGTATGTGTCTATAGTTTATCAATACAATGAAGGCTTATATAAGTGTATGTGTGTTTTAGCCACTGTTTGTGATCATATAACACTTTTAATCAGTACTACCCTTTTTTTTTCTTTACTTAATCAATGCATACTCATTAGCCTGATATACAAAATAAACATTTCAAACCATAACAAAAGTTATTGCAGTGTAGTCTACAGAGAAGTTTAATTGAATGGATTATACTGTGCTGCTTGCATTTCCCTGAATTTCATCTCCAGAGTGCACCAATAAAATAAATGAAGTACCAAATAGTATACAACCCACGACATAGCAATAAACAAGTATATTTATCTGATCTATTTAAACAGGAACACAAATACTCTCCTCTCAACCCACACACTTGTACAGAACAAGAAAATGATTACCGGTACCTTGTGTTCTTTATGAATGCAGAGGAAGATGGTTTTACAAAATTGTAGAAAATTGGATTCTTCTTCAAATGTGACATCTTCTTGCCAAGAAATGATTACATTGTGTTCTATACGAATGCTGAGAGGGATTTTTTTTTAAATCATAGAAAAATTGGATTCTTCTACAAATTTGACATCTTCTTGCCTTGAATGACAAGTGGCTCTTCATGAAAGAAATCACTCTTTGGAAGATGACAGCCAATCGTCTTGTTTCAAGGAGAAGCGGAACTGCATGAGAGAATGTAAATTAGGTTGTTTCATTGACAAGGTTTTCTGAGAAAGCTGAGATTGCTTTCTGAAATGACCAACCACCATGATTCCAAGGATAGAAAGAGAGAGAGTAACGACCAATCAGATGACTCAATGTTTGAACTGTAGTTAGTGAGATTTCAGAGAAATGACAAGTGTTGACGTGCTTCATGTAATTGAAGAACTCAAGATAATTGAATAAGAGACGTGTGAGACGTGATGTTGTAATGTATTCCTTAGAAAAATAGATTCTATTACCAGGACCGCGTATTATAAAGAGTTATGATTGATCTTAAGTTTGATCGATACACAATGAGCCATAGATTTACGCTCAATATTAACCTTGCAATAAATCCAAAGGCTTTATAATTCATGGCCCTGGACTCATAAGGCACAGGTAATTACTTTAATTATCATGCGTCTATGCTGCTTTAAAATATTTCTCACAAACTGACCTTAATCTGGCAGTGCAGTAAAAGAGATGTACAACAGTGAAGTAAAGTCAACCATGCATTACAACAACAACCTGTATCTAAAGACCACCTGTCTACAGATATCCCTATATTTCTTGTAGGTTGGCTTTCTCAAAGTGGCCTTTATAGCAAAAATGATATTCTGCATGTATGTAAGAATCAACCCTGTATAAGCAACAACCTGTATATAAAGACCACCTGTCCTAGAACCCCGGGGGGGGGGGGGGGGGGGGGGGGGGGGGGGGGGTAGAGGGATCTTGCCTGCAACCAACAATATAGAACATGTACATGTATGGAATAGACTTCTTTTGTTTTCCTTATGCAATTTCATAGGTTTATATACGACACACTGAAGACATCAACAAGAGGCAATAATTACTGAATGTGCATAGCCTTCTGTATCACCTATTGAAATTCACCAACATAACAATGGCATATTACATCATCCAAAGAAGATCTCTGCAGGCAATACCATTTATGGACTGGAGTTCATTCTTGTAGGTCTTGAACTGCAATCGTATGATACATGTAATCAATGACGTAATAGGCTTATAGTAAAACACAACATTAACAGCATAATAGGCTCGTATAGTACAGAATAGATTCATTTTCTATATTTGTGAAAGACAGTCAAACCTGTCTAAAGCGACCTCCCAAGGAAAACATATAAAGTGGTCTTTGTAGATGCAGGTTCCTTTATTACATGTTTCAATGAGAAATCATTTTCAAGGGAAACAAAAAATGTGCTTGTCGTAGACAGGTGGTCTTTGTAGACAGGTGGTCACTCAAGCAGGCTTGACTGTACTTGGAACAGATCCACTATAGTATTTTAGATGAATTTATTTCATATGGAAGAAACAAAACCACCTGGTAGCAGTCTAGATTCCGTATAGGTGAAAAGTACACGGGATATGTCTACATCTACTATAGATATAGTACAATAATCCAAAGGCAACAATAGCATATTGTTTGCGAAAGTTTATGTGGTTGGATGAGCAAGTGTGTGCTTGTGAAAATGGCGCCTGACTGGAATGTTCCCCAGGGAGTGGAGAATGTGCATATTTTGTGTGTGGGTAAGCCTGAATTCAACGACCATTGTAATAATATATCTGTAAAGCACTTAGACACATCGTTGATGTATTAAGCGCTATATAAAAGCTGAATATTATTATTATCATTATTATTTGCTTCAAAGAAACCTTCACTTTCTATATTTAAATTCTTAGAAAGCACAGCACTGTAAATAATGTAAAAACACATCTAGTATGCTTTAAAATTAAATTTTGTAAAGTACAGAGAAAATAATCTGAAAGGATTGGGTTGTATACTGAGTATGCTTAAAAGAAAACATTGTTTCTAAAGCTTGTGCGGTAAGCCTGAATCCAGTGACCGTTGTAATAATATAACTGTAAAGCACTAATACACATTGTGGATGTGTTAAGCACTATATAAAAGCTGAATATTATTATTATCATTATTATTATTTGCTTCAAAGAAACCTTCACTTTCTATATTTAAATTCTTAAGAAGGCACAGCACTGTAAATAATGTAAAAATACATCTAGTATGCTTTAAAAGTAAATTTTGTAAAGTACAGAGAAAATAATCTTAAAGGGTAGGGTTGTGTACTGAGTATGTTTAAAAGAAATCATTGTTTCTAAAGCTTATAAGTAGATGCAAGTTGCATGCTTTCTAAATACAGCAGAGGAATGGTATGAAAACAAAGATTACAATTTCATTTCCATTAAGGACATGTTTAATTATTTCAAAAATAATGCATGCACCTACAGCCTTGAATAAAAAATATAGTAAATTATTTACAATGTGATAAGAAGGTTGAAACCTCAAATTTGCATTT